TTTTATCCAACAGTTCCCAGGAAAGGGGGGGTGCAAGTGTTGGGAGGATTGTTCATTGTTCTTAAGATCCAAGGGTCTGGGTCTGTAGTCACCTAGGCAAATTGGTGAGGCTTTTTACCAAACCTTGTCCAGGAAGTGGGGTGCAAGGTTTTGGGAAGTATTTTGGGGGGAAAGACGCATCCAAACAGCTCTTCCCCAGTAACCAGTATTAGTTTGGTGGTGGTAGCGGCCAGTCCAAGGACAACAGGTGGAATATTTTGTACCTTGGGGAAGTTTTGACCTAAGCTGGTAAAGATAAGCTTAGGAGGTTTTTCATGCAGGTCCCCACATCTGTACCCTAGAGTTCAGAGTGGGGGAGGAACCTTGACAACAGCCATTTTTACTCTCAGGTTCTTACGCTCTAGCATCAAACTGTTGTTATCAGCCACCGTTTTTATGGGCCCAATCCTGGCAGGTGCTGAATGCCTCTGGAAGACATTGATTTCTGTGAGCTCTGAAGGTGCTTTGTGGATCTGCAGGATTGAGAACTTCTGGGAACTTCACTACACTATGCCTGGTGCAGTGCCACCAACCATGATCACTCTGGCAGGTGCAACTGTCCTCATTAGCCTGTGCATGTTTGATGATCCTGATGATGAGGGTGCTTAGCCACTTTCAGGGTCAAGCTTTGTAGTTAAGCATCTAGCTTGATATTTTGGTTCCTTCAGAGGAGACATAAAATACATTTTCCATTGGGTAAGACATTCTGCAGCTCTCGCTGCAAACAAAGAGAGAGAGAGAAATTTTCTCTAGACATCTCTTAAAATCGGTGACTAAAACCAAAGCAATTTAAATCAAAACTCCTGAGGCAATGATGAATCCTGCAGGACTTCTCCAAAATAATAGGGGTTCAATGGGCTGTGGCTTTTGAGCTGCATATGGCATTTGGGGTGAAAAATTCCTTTGTTTATTTCTAGCTCACTCTCTTAAATGTCTGAAGAATTTAGGTCAGATCCTCAGCTGGCATAAACGCATGTAGCTGTATTGGGGTCAGTAGACAGGCATGTAAACCCAAAGGGTTGTGCAAGAGAGACATTTTACTGACATAGGGTGTATCACACAGAACCTGAGATGATAACAGAGAACCTGTCAGGGTGAGGGCTGCGAGAGACACCCAGGAATTGTAAAATTGTTAGCTCTTTAATCTTTTGATCATTAAACATACCTACCAAATGTGTCCCCTCTACTGAAGCTGCTACCCAGTTCATAGCCTTGTGTACGTGATTTACACTGATTACTTCCCAGCACAGGTTTGCCAGTCAGGAGTGGGAAGAGAGGCGTTCCTTGCCCAACAGCGCTGTGCTGGGGAAGTCCCTAGTGTAGATGTAGTTATTCGATCAACAAAGCTGTGCTTTTATCAATAGAGTTTGTGCCACTGGGTCTGCCAAGCCACTACTGCACCTCATTCAAATCCCTGCATAAAAACCTTACCTCCTCTAGGTTGCCCATGCCCTTCCTCAGCCCACTCCCTCCCTGCTGTGTGTGGCACCTCTTTGTGCCACATCGAACAGTGGTTTGCAGAGCTGTTAGTGACCGGGTCCCTGGCTTCTAGTCTATAGTGGACAAATACCTCACCCGATTTTGGACGCTATAAGGAAATTTAGCAAAATAAATAATATTCAAAAGAAGCCTTTGTTAAAAGGCTTAGTAGAGGGAGGTCTGCACTGAAGTAGACTTCCCGGGGATGTAAGCTCTGCATCCCAGCAGCCCTGCAGCCATGACAGCCTTAAAAGGCCAGTGGTGTCTGGGCACAGTTATCTGTCATGGTGAGGCTCAGGGAGGAGGCAATCTTGAACGCAGGCTGGGTGACCAGTTAAAAAGGAAGCAATGTGATCTAGTGGTAGATGAGTCAATGGACAAGGAAACTTCATTTCTGTTCTGCTGTGTGACCTTGGGCTAGTCATTTAATCTCTCTGCTTCCCCTTCCTTTGTGCTTGTTTATTTAGAATATAAGCTCTTTGGCTCAGAGACTTCCTCGTCTTTTTCACATGATGAGAGACAAACATCATGTGTGTGTACAGCACCTGACACAATGGGGCCTCAATCTCCATTGTGACCTCCAGGACCTATTTATAAACAACAATAATATAAACCAAGATTTGGCGAAAAGTGAAGCCCAAAGCCTTGAAGGTTCCCTGAATGCATCCTTCCCTTTGCTACTGCATTCAGCACATCACAGACATCAGGCCTCTCACATCTAACTTCCACTTAAGAAGCTTAAGCAGGAGCTTCTGATTTAGTTTCTTAAGAGCGAGCAAAACTTGAGAGAGGCTCATCCATCTCCAAATCGCTGTTGGGCAGAGTGAAAGCCCCAGAACAGAAGGGCAGCAGTGTCCTATGCAGTCTGGACATCAACAAGCCATTGTTTAATGTCACTGCAGCCAAACTGCAATGGGAAAGGCTACATTGCTGCAGCATACCTGCTGTTCTCCGCCGTTCCTGCAGGTGTATGGACAGAATGGCTGACTTTAAGTTATGCTTATACTTTAAACAGGCACGTGTAAGATTATGGAAAGATTTAGCTTTTAAAAGTCAAACACAAGGCCAAATTCTTAAACAATATGAAATTGGTGTGATGTATATGTTGTAATATGCTATAGGCCGTATGGACCTAGTATAAATGCTGTATGCTTGACATGAGGACATGAGTTGCTTGCTGGCAGCTGAAGCAAGGGTTTAAGGTTATGAGCGGTCAAGAATTGTCTGCGTAAAACAAACTTGGTCATGTCCCTAAGAGGAAATGGAATGTTTTGGATTATGGCAGCCTGCCCAGAACTGCTCTTCTGGAGTTATGGATGAAAGGCTTAGTAAACAGACAAAGAGCTACTGATGCGACGGACTGGTCTATGAAAAAGGCTGTTTGCTATAGCTGAAGTTGGAATCAGACATCAACCCAGAGTCCTGAAAAAGAAGAGGCGTGTAACACGGGGCTCCCCACTCCTTGTGATCGGACTGAATTTTGACTGGCCATCGGGGTTTCCTTCGGATCTTCAGATTCTGGTGTAGTATGAAAGGAGTGTGAATGGGAAGTGAGTGGAGTTTATATTGTAATCAATAAAAATATTTAGAGTATTATGAACTAACACTGTGTCTGGTATCTGTCTGCTCCCCAATCCCGTAGGGAGGCCTCTATCAGAGCCTAACAAAATGGCCCTTAAAATGGGAGTCCATGCGGGCTGCCAAAACACTGATGCGTGCTTGTGATTTGGCTGGTAGCAACCTCACATGCATACAACCCCCTTGCATAGATTACTTCGGCCAACAGCATGAATAACCTGAGTGAGGTGGTGTGCACAGACATCTCTGCTGGGTCAAGCAACTCACATGTATAATAATTCAGACCAGGACCCCCATGTGTATAAAATCCATCACTTGAGAATGCAAGTGACAATGCAGAAAAATAATTGCATATGCAAGTTATTTACACCAACAACTGGGGAGGAGAGGGCCCACATTTTGAAAACTTGGCCCATTCTGCCTACAGGGCATTTGATGCATTCCCTTTGGCTAACCTTCTTGTTTCTGCCTATAATTATTTAGAGATCAGAGAGTAGGGCAATATATTTTCTTGGACCATCTTCTGTTGGTGAGAGAGACAAGCTTTCGAGCCACACAGAGCTATTCCTTAGACATTTTAATTGTAAAGTGGTATTTCAGCTGGAATCTTAGCTCTGTAGGAATTATTGCTCTGTGTATTTCCCCCTCTATTTTATTCATAAAGATAAATGTGATAATCATGAAAAGAAAATAATAACAAACTTTGAAAATATTTATTTTTTTTTATTTGAGTTCCGTTGTCGTAACATAAGGTGGTAAAGACTAAAAATCTGTCATTGCTGGTTGCAGCCTTGTTTTCAGCAAGGCCACCACTGTCTCTTTCACCAGTAATTGTTTCTTTCATTTGTTTGCCAGTACTGTATATTTCAGAAGGAACAGGCACTGCGAGGTGTGGCTCTGAACTCTCCAGCTGTGCATAATGGGTATGCTGGAGTGTGTCACCCAAACATGCCAGAGAACAATAGCTGCAGCCAGCCCCTACCTTGGCCTTTACTGGAAAATAGCATTGTCTCATTGTCCCCTCCTGGAGAGTCTGGGCTTCAATAAAACCAAAACAAGAATCTCTTCATAAATACAGATGCCCCATGGCACTTTTTTTCCTTGGCCAGGACAGGAAATTATGCATTTTACCTCACCCACTTCATACAAAACAGACACATACCAACTCAAACAGGCATGCACGCACCCAGACACACCCACAAATATAGACACGTACACACAGGCACACAGGCAAATGGAAAGATACAGACACATTCATGCAAACAGGGAGGCACCCAAAGATGCAGGGGGGCACAAACACACACACAAAGGGATACAGGAGACTATGTGTGCGTGTACACACACACACTGGAGGATGTGAACACACACACAAAGAGGACATGCACACACAGGGATGCTTGTACACAAAGGGGGACATGCAGGGGGATGCATACAAACCTAAAGAGGGACATGCACACACAAAGGGGGGATGCCCAAAAGGATGGACAGACACACACGCAGAGAGACAGAGAGAATCGTTTTCAGTGTCTGGGGTCAGGAAATAAAACTGACCAGCACCCTTGAACTCGTCCACCCCCTTCCCTTGCCCCCCATCCTTCTCTCCTCTCCCCCATCAGCCTCTCTTCTCTTCCTTTTCCCCGTCCCCTTTCCCTCCCTTCACCAACTTTCTCTTCCCTTTCCCCATCCTCTCTTCCTTCTCCCCTTTCCCATCCTCCTCTCCCTAGGGTGACCCCCAGTCACAAGTCCCCCCCGCGCCTCCCCTGGCGTCTTGGTTCGTCGTTTCTCTCTCTTTCGCTGCCACTTTCGGTTTTAAAGTCACCCTGCGCTGGGGATGCGTTTCTATTGGTCCAGCTGGGATAAGGCCACCACCTTAAATCCTCCTGGATTGGTTTGGCTCTTCATCAATCATTTCTAGAATCTGGGACTCCAGAAGGGCTGAATGGAGAAGGAGGGAGGGAGAAATAGAAACTAGCGCACAGAGGGAGAGAGCAGCTGCCAGAGGCCAGGAGGAGGTACATGTGGATGGCTGGCTGGGTGGGGAGCTGGGGAGAATGGGGTATTCAGTACTGTGTGTATAGAATAATGCAGAGACAGTGTAATAGATTGTAAGGTAATAAATGATCTATATAGTGACTATGTAATAATGATTATAGGGATCCAGATTATTCTTCCCTGTTTTCATTTAGGTCCTTTTTGTGATGAGGTTTATTGCAAAACTCAGAGGTCTGATCATCTATTCTGCTGAATATGATTTTCAGTTCCCTGAGGGGGTCAATGGTCAAGGAGTGCAGCCTTAGGGAGGGAGGGTGGCAGCTAAGGGCTGGCAGGAAATACAGGCTGGGGAGAGGTATGGAATAAGCATGGATGAGTTTATATTTATTCTGCTTTCAATGGCTGATCAAGTGCAGCAGTGCAGAATGAATGGGAGCTGTGTGTTCTCATTGTCAGGTTATGCGCAGCAGTTACTCCACAGGATAGTATGGCCATAGCCTGGTCTGTCTGGGAATGTACTTAGCTCTGGGGATACAGAAAAACAGACAGCCATCAGTACAGACTAGGCACCCCGTTTAAATGATGTAGATTTAAATAATGTATTAACGTGGCTCGGGAACTGGGGTGACGGACAAAGTTGTAGTAAAAAACCAAATGAATGAGCACTTGATGTTACGTTACCTCCCTCCCTGTTTTTATAGCAGCATGATCAGGCCACACAATTTGGGCAAAATCCTGGCTTGTTTGGTGTTTATTGATTTTTGTTTTGGTCGCTAAATAGCTCAATTTTGGGTGTGTCTGGGAGGGAGCACAAAGCACTTGGGATGGGCTGAGACCTCAGGGGAGGAGGAGGACATGTTATGAAAGAGACAGTGGGGAAAACCCCCCCTCAGCAACAGTGTTTTGTTATAATTTCTGATAATTGGCTGTGGGTTATTTTGTGGGAATAGAACAGGAGGGAAGGGGCTGCCAATAGGCATATATCGGTCTTTTAAGCTCTGTTTCTTTTCATTTTGCCACTGGCCTGCATGCTGATGGGGCAGTTTTGTGTTCTACTTGGGGGGTAAAGATGCGGGACAGTGATATTTGAGCTGAATTAATGTTAAGCTGGGTGACCTTATGGTTTGAAATTCACCTCTCCTCAGAAACCTTCGCTGAAGCCGGGTGAGGGTGCATGGGAGATGCAGCACTGCATCCACATGCTCTGAAAGCCGCCTGCTTCTGTAGTGTGCAGCATTGTTCCTCCCGCAGCACGTCCGTGTGGTAAGTGTACACTCAGCCCAGGCGCTGGGCCCTGGCGGGGGCTGGGGGTTCTGAGCTGTTTTTCCAGGAGACAAGAGGATGACAGAGAAGGGGATGGAGATGGAGGGGCCTAATGGTTTATTTAATTGAGGCAAGGGAGGGAGCCTTGCCTGTGCTCCAGCACTCAGCAAGGAGTGTCTGTCGGGTTATTCTCGGTCATGCACCTGCTGTTGCCACAAGGCAATCGCCTGCCTCAGCCTCTGTCAGGAAATGAATCTCTTTTTCTACCTACTCTGCAGTTCCTGCCATCCCCCTCTCCCCCTTGAGTTAATGATCAAATTAAGCTTAAAAGCTTCCCATAGAGGGCCAGATCCTGCTCTTGCTTAGACCAGTGTACATTAGGAGTAATTGTGTGGAGCCCAATGGAGTTAACCCAGACACATTAAAAACTTTCCCATAAAGGGGCAGATCCTGATTTCACTTACACCGGAGTAAATCAGGGTATGTGTACACCAAAGTGGCACACCCACGGCACTGCGGCTAAGCCGCTGGAGTGCTGCAGTGTAGATGTGTCCTGCATCGACGGAAGGGGTTTTTCCATAGGTGTAATTAATCTACCTCCCCGAGAGGTGGTAGCTAGGCTGATAGAAGAATTCTTCTATCAACATAGGTGCATCTACAGTGGGGGGCTAGGTGAACTTAACCACGTTGCACAGGGAGTGAAATTTTTCACAGCCCTGAGCGAGGTAGCTAGGTCGATCTAATCTTTAGATGTAGACCAGACATCTAAGAGAGCAGCATCTGGGTGAGAGCAGCATCTGGCCCTAAATTTAATCCTGTGGCATAAGCAAAAAATCCAGAACATGAATCATGAAAGATCACTGCCCCACTTGGAAACTTTTAGATCTACGATACATCACCCAAACCACATTCAAATGTTACGCACCCTTTTCTCTATTTCCTTTAGCATTATTGCGGATTGCCAGGTAATATGTGGGAGCTAATGGCTCACTAGAGGTCCCCTTTCAACTCACACCATTATGAGCAGCACAGAACATTTTACTACCTCATACATGGGCTGATACAGTAGCTGGCAAATCAGGCAGAATGCATGTCATACTGAGATGTCATCATGCTTTGAGCTTGGTATTAATGAAATTATATGATCTCCTAGAAAGTAGAAATACTCTAGTGCAATAATGAAGGTATTTTATCTTATTGTAATAATAATAATTAATACTTTTCAAAGAGCTGGTTGACTTCTTTGCATAACATTTTTTAACTTGAAAAATGGCTCCCCCCCCCCCCCCTGAAAAAAAAAATCTCTGGCAAAAAATTTGTCAAAAATCTTGAAATTTTTCAATTTCCATGATGTTTTCTGTGATGTTTTTTAAGCAATATTTTTATCAATGCAATGGTATCACAAGGTACCATTCAAATGTTCCAAATTTTAAATCAACAATAACTATAGTTAAATAAAGAATAAAATGCATGACTATTGTTATTTCATTATTATCTTTTCTCTTCCTTGTTGTACTTTGTCAATCAGAGCACAGCACCATTTTTATAATGAGCATGAATTGGATCATTTGCTTTTCTTCCATGGGCAGAGGGGATGCCAATCCAGTGGCTGTCCTTGTGGGCATAAATATAAAACTTCACTGCACCATCCCTTCTTGCGAGCGTATAGACTCCTGAAGGGGCATGCAGGGATGTGGCTTGATGGGATTCTAGAGCTGCTGGAGGAAGGAGGTAGTGGAATAGTGGACCAGCTGTTCTATGCAGTGGCATCCCTGGCTGATCCCACAGAAATCTGAGTAGATACCTGATAGAAAATTAATGCTGTTTCAGTGGTTTTAATTCCTTCTTGGCCCCTCTACAGTTGCGATTGCCACAAAAAAACTGCACTGCCAAGGGAAAATTGGGGCCAGCCTTCCATGCAGACACACCATTACACTCTGCTCTGCCTTCCTCTGTCTTGGAACATCAGAATCCATTGGAAGTGGAGGCTACGACTCCTGCCCATTTCACCTCACCCAATACCCTTCTCTTCAAGTATATAATTGACTGCGAACTCCCTGAGCTGAATCCCATGGAGTTCCCGGCCTCAGCCTTTGTAATTTTCCCAATGGAAAGGGACAAAATCTGTTATTAGGGCTTGTCATGCAAGAAAAACCTTTTCTCATGAACAAAAATCAAATTTTTTAAGTTGTTTTTGTTTCATCTGTTTTCCAATGGTTTCAAAATTTTTCGCAAATCGAAATCCCCTCCTCTGGTTTTATTGAAAACATTCTTGAACTGTTTCTCAGTTTTTGTAATTTACTGAAAACAAAATTAAATGCATTTCAATCACATTTTTTATTTTAAAAATGAAAAAAAAATCTAAAAAAGCATGATGTTTTTCACAAGAAAAAGGAAAAATGTTGATAATTTTCCATGAAAAAACGTCACTGGATTTTCAGAATAAGGTTCTATTTTCACTAAAATCTTGTCATTTGATATTTTTGACCCACATCAATTATGATGTATGTTGTTGTTGTCTTTTTGCTTAGGGGTCCCAATCAGGAATCAGTATGCCATTGTGCTAGGGGCTGTACAAACACCAGAACAAAAGATGGTCCCTGCTCCAAAGAACTTCCAATCTAAGTATAAGATGAGAGATAACAGGTGGGGGCAATGCTATTTCAGTGTGATAAGCAGTGATCGCAGTGCAGCAGCTGCCAAATGATTTTTCTAGCTATACTTTGCAAAGCAGTCTATTTGTTGGAATATTATTAATCATAATTATGTTCATATCATAGTTTGCATTCCTGAGATCTCAGTGGCCTTTAGCATTAGCAAAGTGAGCTCAACGCTGCTTCCAGTGAGGTAGGTTAGCATGGCTATTAGCATCTTTGTGCAGATTGGTCATTTTCACCCAGGCATGGGGATATCCTAACACGACCCTCAGCTTTTTTCATATCTTGTTTCCTGGTGTATACACTGCTGTGATGGGCATGAATTTATGTTAAAGAAAACCCACCAACCCTTCATTGTGCAGAATCACTTGAGTAGAAAGAGATATAAGTGAGCCCTGTATATATACGGCATAGATCTTGGTAATCAGCAATAATGGGAATGGATGCGCAGAAAAGAATGTGTCCAGGATTTTGGCAACACATGGTGTTGGGATGATTGCAATGAATGTATGCATATACCTAGGGCTAGGGTGACCGGATGTCCCATTTTTATAGGGACAGTCCCGTTTTTGGGGACCTTTTCTTATATAGGTACCTATTACCTCCCACCCCCGTCCCACTTTTTCACAGTTGCTCTCTGGTCACCCTACCTAGGGCTCAGTACTTCTGAAAGAAGTGCAAAGCCAAAGCTCTAGGATTCAGCCCTCAGAAGTGCAGAGAGGCTTCCATGTAGTGCAGGACAATGAGCTCAGCAACCTGAGTTGACACCGGTGTGTGCTCTGAAATGAAAGCTTTTGACTGGGGAGGAGTTGGCATGCTGGGGAGGGAAGGTTTAGATGGAAGGCCAGATCTTCAGCTGGTGTGACATAAGGAAACTTCATTGATGTCACTAGAGCTACAGTGGTTTACACCAGAAGAGAATCTGGCCCACAGGGTGACCATGGCAAAGAGAGTGAGTGCAATCCCGTGAGTTCAGTTCACATGCATAGCAGCTAGGATTTTCAATCTCTCCTACTGCCAACAAGGAGTAATTGCTACTACTTTAGATCTGCATTTAGCAGACAGAGTGTGAGGGCCAGTCACTGATGGAAAAGCACCCCAGGGTGCAAAGAAATTAGCATCCAACTACTCAGTGCCGTGTGAGCATCGATTGCAAACACACCAAGGCAAGCTCTGTATTTTTATTATGTGTGTGTACATCACCTAGCATGATGGAGCCCTGGGTTGTGGTTGGGGCCGCTAGGCACTACCGTGGCACCATAAATAAATTAAAATGATTGCTACAACATAGTGCACTCCTCCCATGTCTAATCCACCCTAACATATCCCCTAGATGAATGAGGGTGGAGTGGATGGCATAGCGCTTTAGAATGATCTCGGCTGATCGTACTCTTCTTGTCAAGCCAACACATGGCAGTGATCACTCTCCTTGGTTTACTTCACTTTTATTATGAGCAGGGTGGATTTGATTTAAATCACTAGTCAGGCAGACTCGATTTAATCATGGATTTCTACATAAAAGTGTATTCTTGTGCGTTGTTATAACCTTAATACATATTCTTCACAACTCAGAGATAGATGAGACCCAAACTGGGTCTCTTTTATGGCCTGCTGCCATTATAGGTTTTCCCTTCTAGTGAGAGAATGGTATGGTAGATCTCAAATCAATGAAGGCTACAGTCAGAAAGACCTCAAGACTTCTGGAATATGCTGCTCAAACAGTTTCACTTTTGTTTCTACTGCCTGTCCCTCCCATCTCACATTTATCTCCAGACTTCTTCTCCTTGTCCAAATCTATTTTGTCCCCAACACTCTTCTATTCATTGAACTTTTTGAAACTTTGCACTTTTAGAGAGAGGTAAGGGATTGACTCTGTGTAAACAAATTTGCAGAGGGACAATAGGATTGTGGTCTGTTATTTCTCACCTCTATATATCATTTTTTTATTTATTTAAAAACATTTTTGCTATTAACAAGCGTGTTATCTCTGGAGACACAAATCCACAGTTTGAGAACTGCAAAACTAAGCATCTTTGATGGTATCTTTTAGACTGAGCACTGAGTCCCATTGGGTAGATAGAAAGATTAGCCTAAATAATCTATACAGAAGCCCCTGGAACCCCATAAGATTGGGTCCCTAATCCATGAACTATTGGAACTCATTTACAAAACTTTCCTTAAACATTACATGAATATTGTCTTATACTATAGAATTAGAATTTATAATCCCTATTCCATGATGAGATATTGTGGAGCTATAATGTATCTTAATTAAAACTATCTTTAGATAGCGTTTTTCCTCAAAAAGCATTTTATTAAAAAAATCCAATTTTTTTTATTTTATTTTTTTTAAAATCATTGATTTTTATCCACCCTGATTTTGAGTAACAAAGCCCCGTGCTCAGCAACCTCTCGCTCTCTCACAAGACCTCCTCCAGACCCCTGCAGGACTGAGTCCCTACTATGCAGGCACAGTTACTGTAGGAATACAAACTGAGTATTTGGGCATTGTATTTGAATTCTGTTTCAGTAGCATGAACAGAACACACTGGAGTAGCATTAATAGAACATTGACTTTTCCAGTTTGTTCCTTAATCACTATGCCGTCTTGCTGTCAGTGAAGTGTGGAGGAAGGTGATTATGCAATGAGAGGGTTTTTCCGTTACGTAGAATTCTGGTTAATATAATAATATAGTAATGCTTAGTGAGATCCTCCTATGCAAATATTTAGCAAAGAGCTGACACTGTATTTGTTCTAATCAGAAGAATCACAATGCTTTTATTTATTTGAGCATAAGCTTTCGTGAGCTACAGCTCACTTCATCGAATGCTTTTATTTAGTTTGTTGCAGGCTTGGTGGTTAGCCAAATAGAGTATGATATCAAAGGAAAGATTCCCCTTTTAATGCTGTCTCTCCCTTCTAGGGTGACCAGACAGCAAGTGTGAAAAATCGGGACGGGGGTGGGGGGTAATAGGAGCCTATATAAGAAAAAGACCCAAAAATCGGGACTGTCCTTATAAAATTGGGACATCTGGTCACCCTACTCCCTTCATAACCTGATGCCCCTGCAGCCTTTCTGGTATATAAGATCACGTCCTTCCAGTGCTGTTACTTTAAGGTGGGTCTGCTCCATACTAGTTACAAAGTCCCCCCGGCAGGCATTTCAAGGTGACAGCCTTTGAAGCCAATTGGAGTTTTAATTTTTATTTCAATGGTAGTAGGACCAGGCCTGTCGTGTGCTCCTTTAATACCTTTGAACCACTTTCTCTTTCCTGTTTGTTGTTGTTATTAAGGCAATTTAGAGCCAAATGTTCAGGTGACATAAATTGTCATAGCTCCATTCTGGCCTTAGTGAATTTAGAGCCCATGAAAGATGCCAGAGTGACAGCACCAGAATCTTAGTCCCAGATCCTCAAAGATATTTAGGCTCCTAACTTCCACTGATTTCAAAGGGAATTAGGCACATACATGCCTGTGAGGATCTTGGTCTTAAGTCATTTATCTTCAGAGTGAGATGTGCAAAAGCAATGACAATTCAAAGTTCCATACATTGCTCTGCCAATGTACCTCAGCTACCATATTGGGCCTAATCCAATGTCTATTAGCATCCACGGCAGGATATTGGATCAGACCCATTGTTATGATGGTTTCTATTATGTGGACATCTGTCCATTAGAAATTAGATGGAGCAACCTCCCCACCCCCAACTCTTTCATGCAGGCCACTGAAGAGCTACTTGCTGGCCATGATATTCAGTCTTTACCATATTCATCACTATATGAAACAATGACCTACTAGGAGTCAAAGACTCCATCCCATTACAACTCCCAAACAAACATGTCCCATCCTACTTTGGCGATCATGATAGGAAATGTACTGATTTGACATAAGAACTGATTCAAAGACCACTGAAGTCAATGGACAGTCTGTAATCGACTTCATTGGGGTTTGCACCATGTCCTTAGTTACTACAGTGGCCATTGCATTGGAAATACCTAAGACAGAGAGGTAAGTAGGTGGACTGTTTAAGCAAAACATTTAATATTTACATAGAAAAGTTTTTCTGATGTTAAACCTCTGTTTGGACAGAAGCTAGCTAACCTTTTACACAAGATTTCCATATTGCTGGTGTCAAAAAGTAATGTCATTGTATTTAGCTGTCTCTTAGGGGTTTAATGCAGTTTAAAAACTATTGTGATCCATAGTTGGAGCGCAATATAAGTGCAAAACATCCTTTTTATTCTAATTGTATTGTGTTTTACTTTTCAGTAGCATGGCAAGCATCTAGATTAGTCTTTGAAATTCCCATTGTAATTAAACACATTAGGCCATTTCTATCCCTTGTGTAATCCCACTGATTTACAGAGATCTGTCCCAGGGGTGACTTAGCCCCTAATTTTAAAATATAATGTATATTTTATATGTGGCGTGAACAATCTTTTACCATGCAAACTTGCAGAATGTCAAACTGAGGGAACTGAAGACAGTTTTTTTTGAATAACAGGTGTAAGAAGAAAAGGGAACTTGTAACACTTAAGGGTTTTTTTAATTGATTTTAAAGGAGGTAGTTGTACATGTTGAGAAAACAAGATCATATTTTGTTTTTTTCAAAGGAGATACATAAGGATTTGTTATGGTCTGTCTGAAGAAATTCCTAGCAAAAGTATTTTTCTGTATTTCCAGAGATACAATTTCACATTTGTGAAATACATCTCTCGAAACACACTGTGGCAATGAGATAGGACTTTTATTTTGCTAGCTGTCAAAGATATAGTAAAATAAATACAAACTATAGAAGTCTGATAAACGAGAATAGCACCTGATAAAGAAATAAGTGTTCCCAAAAGTGCTTACCTTTTCTGTTCCTAAATATACTCTTCCCAGAAAACCACCTCAAGTCAAAATTTAAAACAGTAAGATATTCTAAAAATTGTTGTTTTAAAATTTCTTCCATTTTGGGGGTCACATAGAGACCATGGACTCAACCC